CACTGAACCTGGTGGCAGAAACACGTGGTGAGGGAGGCTGTCAGGCTAACAGCTCTGCCTTGTTGGCTGGTAGGATTCCAAAGACCACTGAGGGGCAGTGGTGGGCCAAGATCTGCTGTGGGAGGAGTGTGGTGAGGATGGATGGATGGTGGATGGATGAATGGATGGATGGATGGATGGATGGAGGATGGAGGATGGATGAATGGATGATGGATGGATGATGGAAAGAACAGAACATCTGTAAATCACTGAAATGCTTTTTTAAAATCTACTTCAACATGTTTCACTGTAGCTGTCAGCTGCAGTTTTGCTGATTCAGCTGTCAGCTGCAGTTTTGCTGATTCAGCTGTTAGCTGCAGTTTTGCTGATTCAGCTGTTAGCTGTAGTTTTACTGATTCAGCTGTTAGCTGCAGTTTTGCTGATTCAGCTGTCAGCTGTAGTTTTGCTGATTCAGCTGTTAGCTGTAGTTTTACTGATTCAGCTGTTAGCTGCAGTTTTGCTGATTCAGCTGTTAGCTACAGTTTTGCTGATTCAGCTGTTAGCTACAGTTTTGCTGATTCAGCTGTCAGCTGCAGCTTTGCAGATTTTAACATTTAGATTCAGATTTTCTAAATTTAGCTTTAAGTTTGTTTTTTAGGTTTTGTTTTAGCTGCTGTTGGATGATCCTTCACCTCCTGTTTTACTGGTTTTATTCTTAGTGTTTGGTAACCGTATGTTTTATCATAATGTAAATGTAACAGTTGTCTGGATGTTTTGAACAGATTTCAGCAGTGGGTCAGCACTCCGTGTGGTTTCTGTAGTTTGTCGTACAACATGAACACACAGTGGTGTGTACCTCAGTAATCTTCACCATCAACATGAAGGCCTCCTCAGGGTCAGGCCAGGACAGCTGCTCCCACAGCTGACAGATGGGCTGGATGCAGGAAACCAGGTCTACTGCTGACGAGCTGTGCTTGATGGGCACTGAACCAGTCTGCAGTGGTGTGAGCTGAGCACACAGCAGATATTTAATCCATCACAGCTAAAACCACGTCTGAACGACACATCCAGCATGATAACATGTTACCTGGTCCACCTGCACAGCCCTCTCCACCCTGTCATGGGTGGTGCTGAACACCTGCTTCAGCCAGTAGGGCAGGGCGTCTCTGAAGTCCTCGTGAAAGTTTGTCAGCTCAAGTAATCCTCTGCAATGAGAAATTCACTATATTTTACTGACAGTTTTACTCATCTTATAATTCACCTTTTTTCCTAAAAGGAATGATTTTACAATATAAAACTTTAGTTTTATGTTTTAGCTAAAATCATTCCTTACACTTACATAAAATACACTTATACTTACATAAAATACACTTACACTTACATAAAATACACTTACACTTACATAAAACTAAAGTTTTATGTTAGTAACTTTATACAAGTTTGCATTAATATGTATATACATACATACATACATACATACATACATACATACATAC